AAAGATCTGTGCTTGGGTGCATGCGCACGAACAAACTGTACACCAATGCAGACAAGTGTACCTTTGGCGCGGAAGAGATTCCCTTTTTAGGGTGCTTCATTGGAGAACGTGGTCTTAAAGGGACCCCGCTAAGGTCAAGGCCATTGTAGACTGGCCTGCTCTGAAAAACCAGAAGGACTAGCGTAAGTGGCTTGGTCTCGGGAACAGCTTGCACAAGTACAGCAAGTCATGCAGAAATGGCACGACCATTATCCAACCTCCTTAAAACGGATGCGGAATGGTGTTGGAACACCGAACATCATGAGGCTTCTGACGGGGTCGTAGACAGCCTCCTACATGCACCAATGCTGGCGCTGCCAGACCCTGGTCATCCTTTCAGCGTCGTCTGTGACGCTTCGGACTTTGCCATCGGCTGTGCACTGCTGCGAGCAGACGCCGAGGGGTGAGATGGTGTGATCGCGTTCGAATCTCGACAGCTCAAAGCTGCAGAGAAGAGCTACTCAGTTCATGACAAGGAGCTACTTGCGATGAAGTATGGTCTTGTCAAATTCCGGGTCCACCTGCTCGAGTCGCCCCACCTCTCGCAGAGGATGGCTAGATGGCTATCCTTCTTTGCAGAATATAATTTCGATGTGAGGTTTAAGCCGGGAAATCAGAATGCTTTGGCTGATGCGTTGTCATGCATACCCGACTATGAGCCTTTTCATGTTATATATCGTCTGTGACGGATTTGATCCGCACCGCGTATGCGGGTAATGGGATGTGGGTAAAGCTGCTACCGGTTCTCGGGAGCAAGAAGTTTGGAGACTCGGACAAGAAATTGTCCCCAAGACTGTGTGCACGATTGCACCGATATTCGTTAAATAACGGCTTGCTATATTGTAGCACTGATTCAACGGATACACCACGAATTGTGGTTCCTCATAATTAGACTTTGAAATATCACATCCTCTGTGAGGCTCACGACACGCCACTCAATGGTCATCTCGGTCGTGAGAAAGCGTC